GGATAAGAGTCCATAGTGGAAAGGGCAGAGAAGTCATTCAAAGAGTGCTGTTTGATCAGAAGGGGCAGGGTCTCACCTGCAGGCACCAGAAGCAGATGAAACCTGCCCACTGGCCAGAGATAACAAAAACCCTGTGTATCTTTATACCAACAAGGGAAAAAAACAAGAGACTGACAAAAGCTGGCGCCGATCACTGCCAAAGGAAATGAGCCAGAAGTTAAGAATTGATTCTTAATGTGCAGTGACATCCAGCTGTGATGTCACTCTTGAAACAAATGACCCTTGAAACTATGGTCGAGTGGGGAACAAACCCCTATAGAACTATCCGGGAATGACATTTTTCAGCTGCCTATGGGACCATTCTCCAGCACGGCCTAAATTTTTCTCTAAGAATCAGTGACTTCTAAGTTCTGTTCCAGCTCGAAAACCATGACACACATGAAAGGAAGCCCCAAAGAACCAATCAAGTCAACGCCTGCCAGTGTTCCTTCCAGCACCACTGCTCCCACCTGGGACTAAAAAGCCCAGATTTCACCAAGGCCCAGCCAATGTCTACTAATCAGGAGGACACCAGGGGAGCATGCCTTACTGAGTAGCATAACACAGGTAAGGTAAGGCAAGGCAGCTAGCTGCCTTGCGGGCCGTGATTAGGGCCTCAGAGAGCCACACATTCTCTGGCAAGTTCTCCTTTCTCTTCCTGTCAAAGTGGTCCTGACACAGCATTATTCAATTCACTTCCAGGTACAGGGAATTCAAAGCTCCGACTAGCAATCCACATAGCTTTCTCCAAGTCTAACTCAGCATTCAGTCATAATCTTATTTCCACAGACTTTTTATTTTTTTCTGCCATCTTTTTAGTTCTGCTCCCTAAGGTTCCAAGAAGCAATCTTACATTCACCTTTCCTTTGGGCCACCAGATTTCATGGCAGTCAACCTCTAGGGCACACAATCCATTCCAGGTCAATATATATATATATATATTCCCACTGTAAGAAATTTGGAAACTAATAAAACCTAGGTTTCTCCAGAGACACTAAGAAATACAAAATTGGAGCCTCCCTATATCAGTAAAAAGATGTCCAGAACCTATCGAACTTTATTTGTATAGTTCAGTCAACTGTGTAATCTTCATGAGTATTTAGAAAACAGGTGGACACTAGCCAGCTGTAAGTGACAAGTAGTAAACCACCTCCACTCACAGTAAACCCAGATCTCTGCCAAGTCTGGGACATGAAAATATCCCAGTTAAGGTAAGACACCACAATGCCTTTACTTGCTTCTTCACCATCCAAGGCAATCTACCTGTATCCAGATTTCAGTTCATAGTCACTGAAAACCTGAAATAAACTGGGTGTTGATCCAACTAGTAACTCTCCATTCTCCCAGTAAAGAAAAATAAAAGGAGAGAGAGAAAGGAAGAGAGGTTTCTGTGACAATTAAATCCAAGCCAAAGTCAAAGGGCCACTAAAACAAACCTCCAGTCAACCTAGATTAGACTGCAGCAGAAAAAAGACATTTCCACTGGAAACACAATTTCAAGGATGCTCAAGATGTTTGGCACAAACGTTCATCGAGCCTCCCATCGGTATGGAACAAGTCAGGGTTTTAACTTTGACTGTCTTGACAACCAACATCTACGGAGCAAAAAACAACAGACTATTTACCACTGCAAAAGAACTTCACCAGCATGGGAAGAACAGCATGCTTTTTAAGACACACCAAACCAAGGAGGAATGTCAAAATAGTCATTTAATACATGAGAAACAAAAGTGTAACTACCTTATTCTTTGCTGAGAGGTTTCCAGCAATCTCAACCAGCAAACACAAGCTCTTTCCTCTAAGGGCTCTAGGGCCTCTCAACAATACCACGTACAATTCTAACAAGCTATGTTACCTGGTCTTCCAGCCCAAACTGCATCTCTTTTGTAATTGTTGCTTCTCTCTTTAGACTGCAATCCTTAAGCACCTGCTCTTGAGTGAATCCCTAATACAATTCCTGGCAGAGTAAGAATTCAATTAATGTATTTGCTGATCAAATAAATGAAGATTAGAAGTAGGTGGGAGCAGCAGTCACTTGTTATTCCCAACAATGGCCATAAACTGAATTTCAAGATGAAGGGTTAGAAAATGCTTCCATGAATTTCTCCCTGTTTTATGTCAAAATACAAACACTCAGTTGCTGAAAATTGGTATAGTTTTTATAGTAATATTAGTCCATTCACTAAACTAGAGATCATTTAAATCATAAGTATGTGTGAGAAAAGCATCTCTGCCCTTCTCTACACTACTGCACCTCCTTCCCCCAGAAGGAAAAACACACACTTGTCTGGGTCAGAGTCCAGAACACAGAGGGGCCCCCTTCACTAGAGGGCAAGGATCACTGTGTTAAAAGATTAAACACAGAATATGCTTCTCTCTTGCCTTTGAAGGGAAGAACTGGCAAACTGATACAGGGCTGACTCTTCTAGAAAAAGGTCTTCATTTAAACAAAAAGAAAATGATGAAGATGGCATCCAAAAACAGAACGACAGCTGACCGACAGGATGTAGGCAAAAGATGCAGAACTCAAAAACCACATTAGTATAAGATTATTTAGCAAAGGAGCAAACTTCTGAGAGTGCCTAAGGTTCAGCACAATATAGTAATGTATTTTCATGAGATAAAGGGAAAAAAAGTTTCTAAATTACTCCGTAAAATCGATTCACTTAAAATTTCTGTTCAGGTTCAGTTGGCAGGCACCTGAAAATAATATATGTACCCCATCTCTCCTGACTATTAAGCAATCTCCAAGGTAGGACCTAGGTACTTAAAGCCAGAGCTCATGGATCACCCAAAATACTCCCAACCCACAAGTAGACCCTAGAATCTGTGGTCAAGAATAGTATGGTTCTAAAACCTAGCTGTACTCCAGTGTTATACCTGGGCAAGTTTTAAACAATGTATTTCCAATCCCACCACAAATTTCAAGACGTGGGGATCATTGCCCATGGATGTCCCATATGACTCTAACGCAGGGCAGTCTAGCATCGATCTCAAGCAGGTTTTCAGCCTCCGCATTACAGGATCTTGAGGGTGGGAAGGAGGGCTGTCCTGTGCATTACAGAAAATTTACCAGCACCCCCAATCTCCCCCTTCTAAAAGCCAAGTAGCACACTGCCCACCCCACAGGTGTGACAGGCAAAAGTGTCTCCAGATCTTGCCAAATGCTTAGCCATCGCCTCCCAGTTGAGAACTACTGATCTAGAGTAAACCAAAAACCTATCACCTGAAGTTCTTTTAAGAAAGGAAACAGCTGCTTAAAGTCAAGAGGCAATGTCTATTTTTTCAGTCCATCTTACCTAAAAAAAAAGTAGTAACACACTGCTGAGCCCACACTGGCGCTCTGAACTTGACTTATGAGGAAGACCAAACCACAGCCTCATGTTTGTTAGAAGATAAACTCGGTGCTGCATTTTAGCTGGGCAGATGGCTAGAACTGCATTGTCACTACCATTTACTCTTCTGGGGTAATAAAACATTGTAAAATTTTAGACCAGTATACTTGGACTGTCTCTCAAATATCCAAAATATAAAACTGCAAGACACAAACTAAACATTATCATAGAATCAAACTAAACACTGATCCTGTCAAATACTGTTTTAAGAGATGTTTTACCTGTAATAAGCACATTATCTTTGTATCAAATCGATGCAAAAATTTATCCTAAAGAAGCTAAGCCAACTTCAACCTGTCAGTTCTGTCTGATTCTCAGATTTTCAAGTAGTTCACTCAAACCAGCAAGTTTTTACTTTGTTTTGCTGTACTTTACACAAAAGCTAAAGCTTTTTAATGCAGAACAATCCTCTCTTGATAAGTTATGCCACGATGTTCATCTCTACCTAAGACAGAGTTTATCAAAATAACACTTCCCTGGTGAAGTAAAGCAAGCCAGGTCCCCAGCAAGTGATACCAAGGGAAGGCCAAGCACCGTTTCTGAGTATCAGGGAAAAGGGTACAGGGCAAGAATTAAAAGATTTTGAGTATGTGAGTGATTGAGCGGATAGCATTTTGTTAGACATTTTAGACTAGCCCTGATCAGAACACCGAAATACAAAACGGCTTCCAAAGCATCCATCCAGGACAACAGCTATTTCCCAAACTGAAGTGTATCTCAATACACAGTAACCTTTCAAGACTCAACAACAACCCAGGAGTATCTGAAAAACTCAGGAGTTATTGATCTGAGGGCCAATCACACTCATAACATAGTATCCAAAAATAGTCGGAACAGAATAGGACTTGAGCTCCTGAAGAGCTTTTCTTTATTTAACCACCACTTAAAACATTCTGAAGCACCATCAGTACACTCCAGAAAACGTTTGTCATTTAAGTTTGTAATTTAATGAATATTCAATCACCCCTCTCTAAAAAAAGTAACTTTCAGTCCATTTTCTCAGCCCCACTCTTAAATACACCAGAGCTTTCTAAAGACAGTCACCAAGAGCCTGGGCTTGAAACATTCGTATGACTTCCTAATAGCATCTAACATTTAAAAATAAGATCTAAATTAATGATAATAGCCATTAATTACTAGGCTGATTCTATAGGCCAGGCAGCCGTTTCTAGCTGCTTGACATATATGAACTCATTTACTCCCAACAAACGTATGAGGTATATACTATTAATATTCCCGTATTACAGAGAAAGCAGAGGTTGAGTAACTTGACCAAGGTCACAGAGCTAGAAAGCGGTGAGGCCAGGACTTGAACTGAAGCAGGCTGGCTCCGGAGCGAAGAAAGCTCCGACACCACCAGCACTTAGGAGATATTCAGTCCAGTGGCTGGAAATCGGGAATCCCTTCCCATTTGCTGCCTATCTCCGACACGACCTTGAGGCCAATATCGAAGTAAACTTCCAATAACAAAGTGGGACAGAAGGAAAGGAAACCACCGAACGCCCCTCCCATAAAAGCAAAACACAAACAAAGCTCTACCCGACCCACAGAGACAGTGTTAAGTACCGGGAAAATTACACGAAGCTGAGGTTGAAACGCCAGTTCACAGACACGTCCAAGGACTCCTTTCGCCCACCTGCGATCCCGAGTCCAAGCCGCGACCAGAGCCGGCAGGTGCGGGCGGGAAGGACCGCCGAGCGAACAGCGAGCGGGCCGCTTTAAGAGGGAGGGGCCTCCAGCGCGGAGGGACCGCCCCCCTCGCTCACGTCCGCCAGGGAGGCTTTCGCGGCCAGGTCTACATTAGAGTCACAACACCGGAGTTTAGAAATCGCACGGAAAGCATTTAAATACTCCGAGCTAGGTTTGGCGAATTCCGACGACCGCGGCGAATAAACAGAAACCCACAGAATTTGTTTCCCTGAGAAGCTAGTCCGACAATGGCCTTCGCCAGTCTCGGGCGAGCCGCCCCTCCACTTGACACGCTGCGGGCCCGCGGCCGGAGAACTTCTGCGGCGCCCGCGGCCGGGCGGAGCTCGCGGCGGAAAGGCCGGCGCGGAGCGGCCCGAGGTAGGGGCGCGCCCCGCCCGCCGCCGCCGCCGCGCAAGGCCGCGAACGTCAACGCGGGCGTAAAGTTCGCCTCCGGGCCCGCGGCGGGCGAGCGGGCGGCTGACAGACTCGGGAGCAGACGGCCCGGGGAGCCCGGGCGCCGCGCATCCCCGGCGGCCGAGTGGGCGATTCCGAGGGGGAGGGGAGGGGCAGGGACGCTCCCTCCCGCGCCGCGGAGCCGGGCGGAAGGGCCCCACCGCCGACCCCGCGCGCCGCGCCCCCGCGCCCCCCGCGCCGCTGCCTTTCTCCGCTGCACCCGCCCCCTCCACAGCCCATTACCTGGAGGTGCCCGTGACCCGCCGCTAGTTGCGCTCCGGGGGGAAACGCGCTCACCGACACCATCAGCGAAGCGCCCAAAATGGCGGACGTATCAAGCAGGCCTTGAGTGCCCCCCGCCCTCCCTCCGGCCGCCTCGCAGCCAATCGTGGTGCTGTACCCTCCCTCAGCTCCGCGTTCACTGGCCTTCTTCTCCCGCCCCCTGCAGCCTATTGGGTCCCCCAGCGGCTCCGTTGCACCCATCTCGATTGGCTCAAAGGCCCCGTCAGTCTAGCACGAGGGGCGCATTCTTTTCCCATGGACTTGACGGATCCGGAATCTTTAGGACCCCGGGGTCTGGAGAAACAAATCAGAAACTGGGAGAAACCTGGATGGGTTCCCCTTACGCCTTAGCAACAGCGGGGCCTCCGCTTGACGGACGCTTCAGACCACCAATCCGATAGCCAATGCTTTTTAAAACGAAATTGAGCCAAACCAATCATGGCGGTGGACCTGGGAACTGCAAGGGAACCGAAGGAGTAGCGAGACCCGCAGGCGGGCGGCTGGGGGTGAGCCGGGGGGAATCCAGTGGTGACGTGAGCCCCAATACCTTCCGGCCTAGCAACCTGACTCGCGTGGAGGAGTTAGCTCAGGTGGTAGGACGCTCGCTTACCGCGGGAGAGGTGTTCAGATCGATACCCGCACTCTCCACCGTACTTACGTCTTACAAGAAGATATGAAGTGCCGTGCTTCTCCTTCCTGAGAAAGCGGGGGCCAAGGTGAGAGGTCGGGTTCCCCCGGCTGTGCGCTCACCGCTGCGAGAGAAAAGACGTGCGGCGGCGCAGGTGTTGTGTTCGTTTTGTCTTCCGGATGCTTTAAACACCAGGTTCCTCCAAAATGTCCATCCAAGTCCCCCAGCCTCCCTGGTACCCACCGTATACACTCACTATAACAGGCCTCGTTCCTAAATGGCTGCGAAGCGCTGTCTGGAGCCACATGTGAATCAACAAGCGGGTGACAGTTGGCAGCGGGGCTGAGAAGGGCAGGCAAGGTTAGGGTCCTGTGACAGCCAGCCAGAGTTCAGCAGAACGCACAACCGCATGCCCGGGGCTGTGCGGGCGGTGCAGGGAGACCTGGGCAACCCGCTGCCAAAGAGGGGGTATTCTTCATTCGTAGGCAGCTCTCTATGAACGCCTGGAAGAGAGGGGGGCCGGCTCTGACGGTCTCTGGGGGAAGATCAGACACCACCCGGGCACCACCGGCCAGCAAGTAGAACAGGCTGCAGAGTGTTGGGGGCCCTCTGATCAGATGACATTTCAACTCAGGGGAAAGTGAGGAGCCATGGGCTCCTAGGTCCAGATGGCAGAGAGAGAGAGACCAGAGATCCAAAGTAGGGCTTTGGAGCTCCCAGAGGTTTGCACAGCTGGCTAGGGTATGGTGGGAGAGGGCCATGGCTGAGAGAGGAAGTGGCATAGGTGTCTGGGTCTTGCAGGGCCTTGAACACAGAGCCATCATGCCCAGGAGAAACCAACAGCCCCTGGTGTTCAGACCTTAGTTGAGCACTGGGCCTGGAGTCACAATGGGGCATCCCTGCTGGGAGGTTGGTGGTCTCTCCCAGCCTTTAGGGCACTCACTCTGGTCAGGGATGGCCACTCCAGCTCAAAAAGGACAGAGCTTGGTTACTGTGGGGCTCCCCCACTCTGCCTCCCCAGAAAACTGACAGCCTGGCCCCTAGAGGTCAGAAGGATGGGACCAGTGGAGTTGGCCACGGGACCATCTTCCTGGTGCTCAGCTTCTTCCCGCGCCCCTGCCCTTGGCACTGGCCCCAGCTGGCCTGAGCTCCTTGCTCTCATGGACTCAGGCTCTCTGTATGCCCCACAGCAGGGAAAGGGGAGCCCTGCTTGGGTTGGGTCGCCCCAGCACAGGGGGAGCCAAGTCTCTGTTGCAGACAAGCTCCCCCTCTGCCCCAGCTCACCCCTCAGCAGAGCTTGTGGCTGGAGGCTGGCTCTAAAAGGACTTCATTGCTGGGGGCCTCAAAACAGTACTATCCTTCCTTTTTTTAAAAATTTTTTTATTAAGGTATGATTGATATACACTCTTATGAAGGTTTCACACAAAAAACAATGTGGTTACTACATTTATTCATATTATCAAGTCCCCACCCTTACCCCAATGCAGTCACTGTTCGTCAGTGCAGCAAGTTGCCAGAGACCCACTATGTCCCTTCTCTGTGATACACTGTTCTCCCCGTGACCCCCCACACCATGTGTACTAAACATAATACCCCTCAGTCCCCTTCTCCCTCCCTCCCCACCCGCCATCCCACACTCTTCCCCTTTGGTAACCGCTAGTTCCTTCTTGGAGTCTCTGAGTCTGCTGCCATTTTGTTCCTTCAGTTTTGCTTCATTGTTATACTCCACAAATGAGGGAAATCATTTGGCATTTGTCTTTCTCCGCCTGGCTTATTTCACTGAGCATAATGTCCTCCAGCTCCATCCATGTGGTTGCAAATGGTAGGATTTCTTTCTTATGGCTGAATAGTATTCCATTGTCTATATGTACCACATCTTCTTTATCCATTGATCTATTGATGGACACTTAGGTTGCTTCCATTTCTTGGCTATTGTAAAAAGTGCTGCGATGAACATAGGGGTGCATATGTCTTTTTGAATCTGAGAAGTTGTATTCTTTGGGTCTATTCCAAGGAGTGGGATTCTGGGGTCAAATGGTATTTCTATTTTGAGAGTTTTGAGGAACCTCCATACTGCTTTCCACAGTGGTTGAACTAATTTACATTCCCACCAGCAGTGTAGGAGGGTTCCCCTTTCTCCACATCCTCGCCAACATTTGTTGTTGTTTGCCTTTTGGATGTTGGCCATCCTCACTGGTGTGAGGTGATATCTCATTGTGGTTTTAATTTGCATTTCCCTGATGATTAGGGATGTGGAGCATCTTTTCATGTGCCTGTTGGCCATCTGAATTTCTTCTTTGGAGAACCGTCTCTTCATATCCTCTGCCCATTTGTTAATCGGGTTCTTTGCTTTTTGGGTGCTGAGGTGTGTAAGTTCTTTATATATTTTGGATGTAAACCCTTTGTCAGATATGTCATTTACAAATATATTCTCCCACCTCCCATTTTACAGATCAGTTAACTGAGACTCAAGAAAGCATTCAGATGCCAGGTGCAGTCCATATCGGCTGAGTGAGCTGGTAGGGTGATCTGACCTCCCTGACTCTCCAGTTCTTATCTGTAAAGCACTGGTGGTATCATCTACCAATCTGCGTCCATGCCCTGAAGGGTGCTGGACCTCTAGGGAGGCAGCAACCAAGGACAGAAGTTTTCTGTATTGATTGTGCTGCTCGGAGAGGCTAAGGGCCTTGCCAGAGGCCACACAGTAAGGAGCACAGTCAAGACTGAAATCTATTCCGAAGGTGTGCTCAGTGCAGAGGGTTAGAAGAGGACGTGTACTCAGACGACCTGTGGCGGGGCGGAAGCAGGCCTGCCTGGCAGAGGGAGCTGCGCAGCTCGGTGGGGGAAGCACATCTGTGGGAGGCCTGGGGGTGTGGGGCAGGAGGCAGAGAATCGGGGGCTCATGGAAGCCTTGAAGGACAAGCCCTGGAACTCGGGGTTTACGCGTAGAGAGTGTAGGCCAGGAAGAGCTTCTGGGTAAGAGAAAGCTGTGTCCCGGCTGGCCACGCTTCAGAAAGGATGGATCGGAGCGAGAGCACCAAGGCTGTACTGCAGGAATGCGGGGCCACAGGGGCAGGACCAGAGAGCATGGGAGAGGCTTCCGGGAACCCTGGGACAGGGATGCTGCCTGAGGGGGAGGCTGGGCGTGGGCAGGAGGGGCAGCCCGGGGTGGTGCCTGCCCTCCTGGGAGCCTTGGGGAGGGCCCAGCCACCCACCGATCCATGTACTCACTCATCATCAAAGGACGTGCCAGTACATGTGTCAGGCTCCTCTATCCCAGACTCTGAGGTGAGTCTCAGAACCATATGCACTGTAATTAAATGAAATAACGCAGTACCTCGCCCGAGGTAAGTGGGCCCCAAAAGTCTCCAGCTGTGATAAGCTCCTAACCTAACTGGAACAGCTAAAGTCAGGGAGCCCTTCCTGGAGGGGAAGGCATCGGTGAGCAGCACAACTCCTAAGGGGCACAGGGAGCCATTGACAGGCTTTACACAGGAGAGTGACTTTGAAGCTTTACGTTGGTCTCACCAGACTATAAATTCTAGATTACAGATCACTACCTTCTTTTTCCTCTAAACCTTTTGTGGCTTAATTTTCGGTATATAAAATTTCAATCCATCTAGACTTAGAAAACAACATTTATA